TTTATGGGCTAGGATGGATTGTGAAATTTCAGTTACGCTGTGCTATCTGACCTATATGAGGTAGGGTGACATGGGATCACCCCCGGGTATGTGCATGGTAAGGTTATACAGCGATTTGTTGTCTTTTGGAACAACTCTGGGCACGTTCGAGGACGAACATATGTTAAGTGGGGGAGGATGTAATGAGCCGACCGGTCGTTTTGAGCATTTGCACTTTGCTCGCCAACCCTCGGGCATGACTAGCCCTGTATGATGTATTATGACTTATGTAAATCGTCGGTTTTGGTTTTCAGGATAATCGGAATAGATATGGAAGGATGATTCGCATCTTGAAGCTTTTTGAAAGGTTTGATTCAGTCTTTACTTTTAGTATTTGATCTCGGTTTATGATTTGGTTAGCTCCGTTGGGTGATTTGGGACTTAGGAGCGTGATTGGAATGTATTTTGGAGGTCCGTGGTAGATTTAGGCTTGAATTGGCGAAATTGGAATTTTGGCGTTTTCCGGTTAGTAGTGAAAATTTTGATATCGGGGTCGGAATGGAATTTCGAAAGTTGCAGTAGGTTCGTTGTGTCATTTGTGACGTGTGTGCAAAATTTCAGGTCATTTGGACGAGGCTTGATAGACTTTTTGATCAAAAGCGGAATTTGGAAGTTTTGGAATCCTTAGGCTTGAATCCGAGGGTGATTTGGTGTTCCGGCGTTGTTTTGAGTGTTCCGAGGGTTGGTATAAGTTTGAATAGTGGTATGTGACTTGTTCGTACTTTTAGTTGAGGTCCCGGGAACCTCGGGATGATTTCGGAAGGTTGTCGGAGAGATTGGAATTTAGTTTGAGCAGCTTCAGCTGCTGATCCTGTCATAACCGCACCTGCGGATTGGGGACCGCAGGTGAGGACCCGCAGAAACGCAAAAAGGGTCGCAGATGCGGCCAAGGCTGTGAAGGGCTGGAGCCGCAGACGCGGAGAGTTGGGCGCACCTGCGATGGCACAGGTGCGGGCGTTTGAGCGCTGGTGCGATTTTGGGCAGGTAAGTAATTTTCGCAGGTGCGCACCTGGGACCGCAGGTGCAGCTCCGCAGGTGCGAGATATATGACCGCAGATGCGGTATCGCTGGGGCAGAACATACAGATAAAGGCCTTCGCAAATTTTTGGGTTTTTTCATCACTTTCTCATACGGGTTGGAGCTTGTGGGAGCAAATTGAAGAGGGATTTTAAGGGGATTTCGTGGAGGTAAGATATTTAGAACCAAAACTTATTTCTATGGTGATATTTTACTGTTTAGGCATGAAATTTGTGGAATTTAGTGGTTAAAATTGGGGGTTTAGGGCTTGGAAATTGAGACTTTGATTTAGGGATTTGAGGGGTCTTTTGTGGTCGAATTTTGGTGTATTTGGTATGTATGAACTCGTGAGAGTGTAAGGATTCTAGTTTTGTGAATTTTATCGGAATCCCAGACGTGGACCCGGGGGTTAGGTTTGGTCAATTTTGGGATTTTCGAGTTAAATTGATAATTTTTGTATGGGTTTTACCCCTTTAGCGTATATTGATGGTTATAAACTGATTTTGGTTAGATTCGGTACATTTGGAGGCCGAATCGAGAGGCAAGGGCGTCACCGGCTAGAGTGTGGCTTGGTTTGAGATAAGTAACGCTTCCAAACTTGGTTCTGAGGGTTTGAAACCCCGAACTATGTGTTCTATGATTACTATTGAGGTGAAGCAAATGCCAAGTGACGGGCTTGTGGGCGTGCACTATGAGAATTGTGGCCCGGATCATTCCATGGCACCGCTTAGTGACTCTTTCTTGTTGATATCTGTGTTGTAATTATGTGATTAAGTTAATGAGCTGCAAATCATGGTAATTATCATGTTAAGGCTTCACGCCAATACTGTTGAGACCCGAGAGGTCGTTTCTTGCTGTCATATCATTTGCTTCATTGATATTCTATACTCAGTCCTGTTCATGCATATCAAATCATGTCTCAGTCTCGATTATTGTTATTTGACACATCATATCATTGTTCGGGCTAGTATCATGACATTTTGAGCCCGTGTGTGTGAGACTAGAGAGTGATGACTGAGTGAGGCCGAGAGTTTGATATTGAGTGACAGTATGGGATCGGGCTGCACGCTGCAGCGAGATATTGAACATGCCTTCGTTGGCTTTGTTATAGCGCTTGGGCTAAAGAGAGAAGCCCCTCCGGAGTCTTTACACCCCCAGTGAGCGCAGTTGATGATATTGAGGGATGGATCTTCCCTGGACATGGATCTTGTCCGAAGTATTTATATATTTGGAGTATAGATCTTCTCCATAGGCTGGATGGCCTTTCTCGGTACTGGATGACTGTTGTCAGTAATGTTTATATATTCCGGGAGTGGATCTCCCGTGGGCTTGTGAGCCTATACGAGTACCGAGTGGTTGTGAGTTTGTTATTGATATTATCTGGAGATGGATCTTCTCCGTAGGCTAGAAATGGCCTTCCTCAGTACTGAGTGATTGCTATCAAAGATGTATATATTCCGGGATGGATCTTTCCTGGGCCATATGAGCCATACACAGTACTGAGTGGACGAGAATTTGAGGTTGTGGGCACATGAGGCACTCAGCATGGTGCATTTCCATGCAGCAAGTGCATTGACATGTAGATGTAGCAGAGTTTCACTCCTTTACCTTGTTCATACCTGCTCTGTTTTACTGTTCGAGCTGTTTATTTAACTGAAAGCATGCCTACGTTTCTGTAGATTATTCTGTTATCCTTGAGGAGGTTGAGTTCGTCACTACCTATCAGTCCAAAGGTTGGACTTGTTACTTACTGAGTTGGTGTACTCACGTTACTATATTGGGAAAAATTGAGTTCGTGTATAGAATTAAATACGAGGTGATATATCATGACACGTGGACCAGTAGAAAAGTGACTGATTGACAACGTAAAAAGGCACGCGTTTCAACAGGCACGGGCAGGGGAAGGGCAAAAGCTCGTACCTATTGATATTCTGCAGTTATATCAGAAGAATGATCTTTTGTAGAAAAAGAGGTACAGATACGTATTATTGGTAGTTAATAGGCATTAATTACGGAAGGCGTTATGGAATTTGTAATGAATCAGTTATGATTACCAATTATAACGTTACATTAATGCCATTAATTGTCATAAACACTCTATTATGATAAAGGAAAAAACGTATTACTTCGAGATGGATATAAAAGGGGGAAGATTGAACATTTGTAAGGACACGAAATACTATTGCAATATACAGATTTATTTTGCTTTCTTCTGCTTATCAAAGTCAATTTCTTTTATTCATTGTATATTTGATTATCAGTAACCCGAGTTCTTCTAAAATAAAACTTTGACCGAAATCCCAAATTTTAGTTAAACAAATTGGTTCCGTTACCGGGAATCTGATAATCTAATCCTTCCCACATTAATCTTTTTATTAAATCAATCATGTCAAATGTCAACGACAACAACAATTAAAGAGACCGTCAACTCCAGGAGAATTTGCAAGGTGATGGAACCCCTGACCCTTCTCCACAAAATTCTCCTCGACAATCTCGAGAAGGAACTCCTGATGGATCTCAATCAAATGCAAATGATCAATTGGAAAATGATGAAGCTATCGACGAAGTTTTGCAAAAGTTAATCGCTCAACAGGTCAGCAAAGCTCTTGAGGCTTTTGCTAGCCAGTTGCCGGTCGCACCACCAACACCAACTCTAAATAATAATACTTTGGAAAACCACGTTCTGGGCTCGTTAATTCAGGTAGTGGTGGAACTCCCAGCGAATCTCGCGATGGTGAACCAGGTAACATAGTTAATTCTTATTTACAAAATTTAGTATTAACCTTGCAGAAACAGATTAAGGAGCAAAGCGATCGCATAGAGCAAATACTTGGAGTACTGCCTGTAATCAAGGGAATAGATATAGATAAATATTCACAACAACCTTGGAAACCCAGTGCTGCTCCTCTACCAATTCCGAAGAAATTCAAGATGCCCGACATCCCAAAATACGATGTCACAACTGATCCACGAGACCACGTAACTGCATTCACTACTGGCGTAAAGGGCAACGATTTAACCAAACAAGAAATTGATTCAGTGCTGGTCAAAATATTTGGGGAAATACTCACTAAGGGAGCATTAACATGGTACTCTCTTTTGCCCGAAAATTCTATAAATTCTTTTGCTGAGCTTGTAGATTCATTTATTAAAGCGCACTCGGGAGCTCAAAAAGTCAAAAAAAGAATGGAGGATATTTTCAAAATAAAGCAAGGAGATTCGGAGCTGCTCAGAGAATTCGTAGACAAATTCCAGCGTGAACGGATGACGTTGCCATGCGTACTTGATAACTGGGCAGCAATGGCATTTTCCAGCAATCTAAATGAGAAGAGTTCATAGGCCACGAGACAACTCAAGGAAAGCCTGCGAGAATTTCCAGCAACAACCTGGAAAGACGTTTACCACAGATACAGCACGAAGATGCGGATTGAAGAAGATACTATTACCCAGTTTCAAAAAGAAGAGAGGGTAAGTTCAAGGCGTGCTGAAACTGAAAAAAGGTCCGGTAAAAACAGGTATGAACCTTATATGGGACCAGTGGGACGAGATTCACGATTGAAACAGGATAATTCAAGGTACGATCATAGGTCGAGAGACAGAGAGTCAGGTTCATCATCAAGGTTTAGGAAAGAACGAGCTCTAAGGCGAAAATTGGCGGTTACAGTTTCAATGTAAGCACGACTGATTTGGTAGCACTATTGAGAAGCATGGGTGATAAGGTGCGGTGGCCAAACGAAATGAGATCAAATCCGAATAGGCGTAATCCTGATCACTGGTGCGAGTTTCACAACGATCATGGTCATAAAATGGCAGATTGTAGATTGCTACAAGGAGAAGTAGACCATTTATTAAAGTAGGGATATCTTACTGAGTTGTTTAGCGAAAAAGGTAAACAAGCATATATGAAAAACAGGTAAGAACCTCCTAAACCTCCTTCACCAAAAATGACCATTAACGTTATAAGCGGGGGAGAAGAAATTAATGGCGTGACATACACGACAGCCAAGAAAGTTTCAAAAGTTTCAGTTACACACGGGAAGCGGGTCCGACATGTTTTGGAGGAGGAGAGTATTACATTTGATGATGCATATGCGGATGGCGTGTTAACTCCACACAACGATGCACTGGTAATATCTCCACTTGTACATGAAAATGTGAAACGAGTTTTGATTGATCCAGGTAATTCCGTGAACATCATTTTGCTAAGAGTATTAAACGAGATGCAAGCCGAAGATAAGCTAGTACCTAAGGCACATACGTTATCTGGCTTTGACAATTCAAGCGTCGTGACAAAAGGGGAGGTAGTACTTACAACATTCGCAGAGGGAGTTGTCAAAGATACGAAATTTCAGGTGGTAGAGATGGATATGGTTTACAATATGATTCTCGGGAGACCATGGATTCATGAAATGGATGCTGTGCCATCTACCTTACATCAAGTCATTAAATTCCCATCACAATGGGGAATCCGTCAAATCCGTGGTGATCAACAGACACCTAAGAGCATCAACTCCATAGCAGATTCAAGCACAAAAAATGAAGAAAAATAGCAGTTACAGAATCCAGTTGAGGATACTACGACACAAGCCTCAACTGAACATGGGCGAACAGATGTGGACTCAAGGCCCGATTCCATCCAAGAACCAGAAGAAAATGGAAACATCAAAACAACGATTGAGGAGTTAGAGGCTGTAGAACTATTCACACAAAAGCCTGAAAGGAAAGTCTATATTGGGGCCAACTTGAGCCACGAAATGAAAGGTAAGATAACTGAATTTTTGAAATCTAACGT